TCAAATGTTTTATCACCATATATATATATAGATGTATAATATTAACGTTAAATTAATTTGTATAAAAATATAAAAATAAAAATGATGTCGTTCGTCTAACTTCGCTGTGTAAATGCAACGAGCAAAAAGGTACTAATTGGTCTTGAGAATTGTCCTCTGCATCTTCAGCTAATAAAAGAAGCCAATAATTCCTATATATTACTGAAAACCTCAATGACTATGTTGTTGATATAAAGTGACATCGTAGTTCTAATTCTAACTATCGAGATTCTTGAAACTTTGCATCCCTCTGAATGCACTGATGAAAATATATCTTTAAAGAAAACTGCAATAATAGGTAAGTTAATCAATATTATTCAAAGAACTGAGATATTATTGAAAATATAGCAAAAATAAATAAAAAATTCTTCACAATTTTGCTCGTTATTATGTGAAGAAAAGAAAATAAAACTATTTTTCAAGAATATATCAAAAACAAATACTAATATAATAATAATAAACGTATAAAGAAGAGATTGTGCAACATTTTATTTTCAAATTCGCTTTAGCTATGCATATTTACCGCTTCTTGGTGCATAACCAATCGCTGTATATAAAGTCCGTTTACCATACTCATTAACGAGATCGCTCGGCATCCCGTCATATTTCCGAAAAGTCAAGTTAACAAGCATTCGTTATAAGGCCAACGAAATATTCCATATACTGTGTCGTCGATGATGAATATATAAGCCATCGTATGATGGATATATAAGTAGTAGAGATGCAATCTACCGATGCAAAAGTACTTGACAAGTGTGTGATGAGTTATATATGTCCGTGAAGACAAAAAAATAAGATAAAAAAAATGCAATTTTGAAATATGATGAAGACGTTTCCCATTTGTATTTTTGTTATTTTTGTCGTAATCGTTCGTGCTATATATGGAGGTAATTATTATTATTATTATTATTATTATTATTATTATTATTATTACTATTATTATTGTTGTTATTATTGGTTTTGTTTCATATAACAAATTTATTATATCAGTAAACGTTTAGAGATAAAAATGAACATGATTTTGAGTGTGAATTGTTTTCTTGCAAGGCGATCGAGAAAATAGATATTATTATCCGTTATTTTGGTTCGGAAGAACCGACTATCGCGATTATAATCGTTATCGTAATGTCAGATGGTCGCTCGAGAACTTAAAACGAAGGTCAACTACTACATCTTACGCCGAGATTGGGTGAGTCATTGATATTTTGATAAGATTGAAAAACAAAGATATATATATGATTGATTCGTCAATAGTTTGAATTGTACGCTTTCAGAAGTGCATGGGGCCGTTGAAGAAGGGACAAAAGACAGTTGTAAACAAACTTCGTTATGAAATTAATAGAAAACCAAAAAGAAAGGAGAAAAAGAAGGGTTCACGTGATCAAGTAACATCATGAAAATTTGTTCATTCATTTTGAACCGAGGAAACATTTAATGAAATCATTATTTGGAACTCAAAAAAAGTTCTTATCTCTCGATAAGACGACATTTAACTCGAAGCTCCTCATGAATATTTAATATCTATGGAGAACAAAGGGCAAGTGAATGAGAGAGAGATGAGTTTTTGTTTTTTCTCGAGAATCACAAAAGATCGTTTTAGAGCGTGACACCAAGGATGCATTAACGACCTAGTGTGATTTTCTTTATAGAGCTCTTTGTACGATGTCTTCTTCATCGATCATGAACAAATGAAAAAAAAAGATCGAGAAAGAGAAATATGTAAATCATAATCGATTTTTCGCATTATCGCTTTAAAAGTTACTAAGAGATTGTTCTTCTAGTTTCCTGATATTCACGTTAATAGATTAGAGTATTGTAGAGATATAATATAGAGATATAAATTTTCATAATATCCTTACGAAAAATTTCATATTTTACATCATATTTTTAACAGCGAAAGAATTTGAAAATACGAAAATCAATGTTATATTCTTTATTCGGAAGTCGAATTGTTTTTAGCTTGATTAAAAAAAGGAAAGACGAAAATCGATATTAATATTCCTTACGAAAGTAAAATCGTTTCAGAAGAAACTCACCGTGGGAATAAATGGGGAATTCTCCATCGCTGTGACTATGAGTTAGCATCCCAGCCGAGTAGAATTGCCAGAGTGCTCTCTTCCTGCTTTCTTCAGAGGTACCTGCTAAGACCTCGTCGTCATCGGCGAGGCCCAGCAGGCTCACTAGTCCCGAAAGAGACAGATTGAAATGGACGATTCAAATTTTAAAAAAACCTTGAAATTAGATTTCCTTCTTCACGTTATTATTTTGTCGTTAGTAAATCCACGATGAATACTTGAAACACTTTCGTTCGCAAAGGGAACTTCTAACACATTTAATAAGCAACCTTTGCATTATGATAAAACAAATGATATTAAAATAATCTCCACGATCGTTATCTTCACTATTGTCATTGTCGTGAGATAACCAAAGGCGAACTGGAAAGACGGCAGGTTTAAGATCGATAATTTCGCACTTTAATTATTTCGATTTGTGATCGACTTCACTTTGCACAGTTTCACGGTAACTTTCGATTCTCTTTCTTTCTATCTCAAGTTTGTTCTCTTGTTTCAAAACGCTCGGTTCAATTTTCATATCTATTTTAACAAAAGAACGACAATCACAGATTCATTTGGACAATGAATGAGTATATATTACGTTGTGCGAACAGCAGAATTCTCACGTATGTAATGCAATTTTAAGGGAAAGCAATGAATGATTCAAATACCGGAGGAATATTCTTACGCTTTACGGGAAATTACGATCTCATAGGATCTCGATCAATCTAACCTTAATAATAATGTACTTCTCGACCGTTCAAGTTTGATATTCGATATTCCTGCTCTTAAATGAAAAATAAACTGAATTTCCATGAAGAATACTTCGATTTTTGAGTCTTTTTCTGTGTGTCTCTCACTCTCTCTTTTCTCTTCTGCCAATAATAATATAAAATAAAATAAACAATGTAATCCTTTACATCGATAAAAATGATTCGGCGTATTACGCCATCCGTATTTTCGAATTAAGAAACCGAGCGATCAAAGTAAGCGCCGATCACAATTTTGCTCCCATTATACGCATGAATTTCTACGATGATGTTGAATGTCGAAACCGTTCTCTCAGTGAGTTGATCGATCGCTTATCTCTCGAAAGTTGGAAGGGTCCAAGCGAGAAATTGAACCGCGCCTTTGTTGGCGGAGGGCCACCCTCTTCTCGAGATAAATCGAAAGCGCAACGCTAATAACGATCTCCGAACCTTTCCACTAAGGCTCGACTCTGTCCTTTTTACAATTACATTTTAATTCATTCGCTTGTTGTATTTCTTATGTGGCCAGATCGATCCCCTCTTTCTCTTCCCCTCTTTCTTTTTTCTACTTATATCAATTTTTCTCCTATGTTTTCATTTTATTATCTGACAATATAACAAATAAACAAAGTAAGAGAAAGAAAGAGAGAAGGAGAGAAAGAAAGAGAGGGTGAAGTACTTTAAATACTTGTATTAAAATATAATTTTATTGAGCATTAAAGAAAAATATTGTGTTTACGAACTGGCGAGACTAACTTGCGTCGATATACTTGCGTCTAATTTGGTTTTCTTTGAAGGCTTCGTATTCTCTTTCTCTCTCTCTCTCTCTCTCTCTCTATATATATATATATATATATATATATATATATATATATATGTATATATATATATATATATAATACGTATAAATATATATAAAAATTCTTTTCACGAATTAATCGAAAGAACAAAAAGAATCGGAGAAAAAAATTTGAGAGATGAAAGCAAAATCACAAGTTTTATTTCTTTTTTCTTTTTTTTTTTGTTATTTTTTTTTTTTACCAAACAATTTTTACATTCTCATCTTTTATCGATCGATTGTTATCCAAACGTTCGACAGAAACGTCGCGAAACGAGCGATCGAAACTGACGCATCGAATAGCGTTGAGTCGCGTGTCACTGAATGTGATACAATTTTCTTGTGACAAAGAATAACATTCACATACACAAATACACAGAGAGATGAACGTATGCACCACAGAAAGAGAGACACGTTGTATAACTCAAAACGATATAAATGAGACTTCGATGATCACAAAAATCGAACTCACATTGCTCGTCTCTCTTTCGGACGTTATTTTTTTTCTATTTTTTTTTTCGATCGAATAAGGAGATGAAAAATAAAATCGTAAGGAGAAAGAGATTTGTGTATAAATGTATATACGTGTATATATTTATATGAATATATCATGAAATGTGCGTCCTGGATGGAATACGAGCGGGAAGGACTTTCGTCCAGGAAGGGTTCGATGCGCGCACTGGAGATGAAACCCGTACCAAGTGAGAATATCGAGGCTGCGAGGGTGGAAGAGAGACGTAAAGAGAAAGCGTTCTATGCGGAAGGAAGATGGATAAAGCGACGTCCAAACAGCGCAAGCTTAAGCTCCATCGGCCTCGAAATATGCGCGTATCGTGGCCCCGGACCACGCGTGTCCACCTACCCTCTCTCTCTCTCTCTCTCTCTCTCTATATATATATATATATATATATATATATATATATATATATATATATATATAGAGAGAGAGAGAGAGAGAGAGTATATATAGTGTGTGTATATATATATATATATACACACCAATTTTATCGTTAAAGTATATGCGCTTTTAAACCAAAACTTTTTATAAGAAAGAAAAAGAACTAAAGATAAAAGTAAAATATTGAATGAAATAATTCTAGAAAAACGTATGTAAGATTTGTTTCTGTTCTTTTTATACCACGCGGATCTAATTTCTTGTTAACCTTCGACGAGTTTGACTTAAGTCGACTATCGTACTGTTTCCATTTCATTTTTTCGTCTTCCTTTTTGACGAACTTTTAATAAGAATCGTTTGAAGAATATATTTTTAAAAGTGCATTCATAATTTTGATTTTTTTCGAAAATTTCTTCGAGATGTAAATATATTGCTTTTTTTTAGTGTATTTTCGACATGCTCGTAGTACATTCGGACAAAGATCAATGGCACTACAATACTTTTTTTGCTCTTGTGACGACTCTTAATGCACCTGTGAGCATCATTTTCGGACGAACTTACACACTGGCGAGAGAGAGAGAGAGAGAGAGAGAGAGATCCTTAAGCTTTTTTTCTATTCATCCTTGAAATTTTTGTATCTCGTACGTTAATGGGACACGTTTTATGTATCCGGCTAATGTTTCTTTTTTTTTCTTCAAGTTTTGAATTACGTAGCAGATCCATTCGTACACGTCGTTGAATTTCATTGGTATTCTATTGGAATGCGGATAAACCTGCTAGGAATAAAAAGCTATGAACCTGCTGATTCATACTTCTCGATTTCAACCTAGACGGACCACTCTAAAGACTTACATATTATCTCAACGTGTATGTACATATATATTGATAGCATTCTTGAAATATATTAAATATACGGATAATATTTCTAACAGCAGATCTTTCTAATCTATACTTTTCATGAATTTTATATTTATCATTTCTTTATATTTTGTATTGTATTAAATTTACTTTACACACACACACACACACACACACACACACACACACACACACACACACACACACACACACACACACATACACATACACACACAAACAATATATAAATGAGGAAATATCGTTTATTCCAATTAATTATTAATTTAACTTTTAGACTTCAATCTGTTATACCATCGGTCGTACTGAATCTGTCATAGATTCGAATTACAAAAGACTCCATAGAAAATACAGAATTCGACCGAGTAGATCACTTACCGGTATCGCCGTTAATTTGCGAACTGGTACGTTCCTTCTCCGTGTTGTCGCTTGCTGCCACGGTCTTTGTATTCTCGTCCTCTACAACGAAAGTATGCTCGTTAATAGATCAAATAACGATTACATTTTATAGCATACCTGTCGATTATTATAGCACAGAGAAAAATAGGATTCATGTGATCCTTGTTAGTTTTATTTTTTCGATTATTAATTACTACACGATCGTCAAGAAACATATTCGGTGAATGACACCAATGAAATATGTATATATCTTTTTTTATGTAAATATATGTTCATTATGTATGGGAAAATATGTTTGCTTCTCTTTATTAATTACTCATTATCACCGATAAAATGCTTGTAACCTACAGTTTACATTATATTATAAATCACAATTTATGTAATTCGTATTATTCAAAAATTATTCAATGTTTGCATTATACATAGTATTTAAAAATGCATTATCTACAAAGGCAATTACACCATATACATAGTAGATAATTATTTAATACTCTTCCTTTAAAAAATAGATAAATGTGTATACAAATATATGCACATATATATTTCATTTAAAATATAATTCAACTAACGACCAAATCTAGATCCAAATCTATATCTAAAAAGATTACCAAAATCTAAATGAGATTGTCTAGACGAACCATGTAATCTTAAAAAATCTGATAGTAATGGAATGTGATTATTTCCGATGTTTGAAGGTATATCTACTCTTGGATGTATCCAAGATGGATGGTATCGGCCTATTTCTGGTTTGCAACTACTGCAATTACTGTAACTACTGCAACTAGTATTATGATGACGTTTTCTATTGTGTTCTATGTATCTCATACGATAGCAACTTATCCAACTTCTATCCGATTTTACTTGCTTTTCTGCAAAGTCTCTTCGCAACAATGCTTGCCATAAGAGTGGTTCCTTACATAATACGTTAAAATGCCGAGAACACTGTGAAACTTGCATTAATGTGGAAGCTTCTAACATCCCCAGAATTTTTAATTTCAATTCTGTAGGTAAACCCTGAAAGCTAGGATTGATAAGGCCAGCTTCCGTTAAAATATCTGCTCGTACTCGCATGACCAATGCATCTTTGAACCTAATGGATTGAAAAAATATTGTGCATTTAATAGAAGTTTACTTTAGTATTAAAAATACAATAAATATTGAGATACCTGTGTGATATTTCCTTAAGATTCATATAACGACTAGCAAAGTTGTTTGAAAAAGGATTCACATATTTTAAACTTTGTATAGCAATACTATAAACATTCTTTTCTCCTGTGGTCGAAAAGAAATTAACAATCAATCTATCTCCAGAAGATATAGCAACTAATTTGCATATCACATGAGGTAGATATTTCAATACAAGCTTGATCTCATAAATATCTTTCATAGTTTTCCATTGTTTTGGTGATGTATATATGAGCTTTTCATTTTTGCTATAACGTACACATTAATTTGTTATTACGTATATATATATATATATATAAATATACATTCATAAGCATGTGTATAATAATATATAAATAATTTATATTCACTTACACTGCATCATTCGTACGAGTTATATATATATATATATATATATATATATAGAATATTTTTTTATTATATATATATATATATATATATATATATATATAGAATACAAAATATATCTTATAAATGGAATAAATACTTAAGAGAAAATAGTCTTTCATACCTAAAAGAAGCTTCCGACATAGGTAATACGTAAAAACCAGACTCCGATAAAAGAACTATAAACAAAGCGATCATATACTCATGATGAATCGTAGTTTCGTCCAATTTCTTTAGATAATTCTCTAATGTAGATGCCAACTTAATAGATGTACTATCTTCGACTAAAGATGATTCAGACATACTCTTTACTTTAGATTGAACTTCTAACCTTCAAATTTGATCACGCATCAAAACACATCTTAAGCCAACGATTTATCTTTCACTAACGAAGGGGTAATGTGTGTAACATTGTATGTGAGGTGGCGACCTCTACTGAACGCAACAATATAAACAGAGAATTATTGACATTTTATATTTCATAAAATAACAAATATAAATATTTTAAAAAACACTTCTTATATAATTTATTTAAACTATTTCTTATAATTTAATAAAGAAACGAATTTTATAAAGAAACTGAATTATCATCGGTCGGTAAAGACAATCCAATTATTATTTTTTCTTTGAATGTACTGTTGAATTATTATTCTTTCTTCGAATTGTTAACTATTTAAAATACCTTTCAATACTCTCCGTACATAAAACATAATGCATAGGATGTGAAAAAATTTGTCAGAGTATCTAATTTTATCATTTGATAAGTTATCATCTTCACTTTCCTTATCTAATATTTTCCATTAACTTTATCCTTATCGTGCGTCGTAAGAGAGAATATTCGCGTGTCCTACAGAAAGATGATGTTATCCGACAATCACGATCGATTTAGTAGATCTTATCGTTCAAACATCATTATCGATATTCTCTTAAAAAATCACTTCGCTAAGAAACAAAATAAAAAAATCGAAAGAACGAAAGGATGTCGAAATAAAATCGATTAAAATGAAGTATTGATTGGACCGATCAATTTCCGTTACGAATCTATGACGATTCAATATCTCCTGTGTTTAAAAAAAAAAAAAGGAAAAAAAAAACAAAATACGAGAAAGTAAATTTTTCTTAGAAGATCTATACGATTGAGAATCGTACATACACTTCGATAAAAACTTTTAGAATAAAATCGTTGAATAAAATTTCAATTTATACATATATATATATATATATATATATATATATATATATATATGCAAAATCGACAACAAAATATTATCCACCATCGTCGCCATGCTATGTGCTATGGACAAACCGTTTCCCAATCTCCCGTCCATTTGACCGGCAGCAATCTTTCTCTTTGGCAGTGATGTAAGCCTGAGAAATATTATCTGGGCTTTTTCTCGTCACGATACGGATGATTTTCATGATTGAGGAAGATTCTTCGACTTACTCAAGATATTTATTTATTAAAAAACGTTTCAACAATTTTCCCGCTCGAATCATCACCGTGAATATATCCCGCGGAAGATACTCGTCTTTGAAAATCGAATTCCTTCGTTCGATACTTCGATTATAAACATTTTTTTTATGAAAATATAGTTTAAATTTTACAACGAAGAAATCTTCTATAATTATCAAATATTTATAAACAAATAATAACTATGTTTGATCATGAAAATATTGATGATAAAATGAAAGGAACAATATGACACATCTGAAGTCTGTATTTATTTAATAATTGAAATAGTGCGATAACCGACATCGTGTGTCTTTGTTGTATTATTTATTTAAGATATTTCTCTAATTCGTATCGATAACAAAGAAAGTTTATATTTAATACGCATGTAACTCATAAACTCTCAGTACCTTATACCATACATAATAATTACTTTAACGAACATATTCGAAAAAGTAATCATTTTATAGCAATTTCTCATAATAAATGTATGGCTTATTTTTAAATAAAAGAATTTCAATAAAATAAAAGAATTTATTTGGATCGAGGTAACGTAAATCCTTGTTACGTACCTGTCCGGCATGCAAGAGCGCTCCGTGCCACTTGTTGCATGGTCGCGCTCGACACTTCGGTTTGAATAAACTCCTTGAGAAGTACGGAACATAGAAAATATTCTAGGTTGGTTTTACTCACCAGGAGTGGTGCGTCCTATCGTTTCCTCTTCCTCGCTCGTATCCGGTAGTTTTGCTTGTCCGTGAGACACGACACTAGTCACTATACTTGACACCCCAGAGTCGTACGATTCGGCCATTTTCAGGTTAATTCGCGTTAATCCGCACGATGGCCACTTACCTCGTCGTATTCGAATCCGAAACCTCTTTTTCGAAACTTCCACGCACGCTTGGTGACTCCTCGCTGTGTATTTCTCTCGTCAGATGGCATTACAAGTCGTAGAAATGTAGTGCTGACACCTCGCTGAGATTACGGAAGATCATTGTTGCTATCGATTCATGTATTGAGTTTCTAAACAATTACGAATTAAGAATTAAATTAGAGATGATAAAAAAACAAATTTCGATATGTACTATCATGCAATATAAATACTTTTTCGATATTAATTTATGATTTATAAAATTAAAAAAAAGTAGAAAGTTGTTTAAGCATACAAAAAGTTGCATTGTATTATATAAATGAAAGAATGATAGATATGAAACATCTAATCATAGATTTAATGTCGCACCTTATATCAATAAAATTCATTGCCAAGTGTTTTTCTTTCTTCTTACTTTTATCTCTCTGAAATATTTCAAGATAAATGGGAGGTTTATGAGAACAGGATAGCAACCTTCATATTAAGGCAATTATCTTCTTTTTACGTAATCAATCTTTCTGTTTTAGTTTCAAGATTAATCGATGAAGTTTGAAATGATTTTTTATCTTTATTATACAGGCATATTCACTTCAACTTCGAATAAAGTAACGTATAAATAATTTGATAAATTATACACATGAATTCGATATTAAAAACATATAATTGTTGAATGCCTCTCTCTCTCTCTCTCTCTCTCTAATTCGCTTTCTACATAATATCAAGAGTTAACTAAAAGATTTGCCGGAGGTAATGTTACGGTACTGTGACCGGAAATGGCATAAGGCAGAGGTGACACGCCTGTTATCCACTTGCCCTGCTCGCAGCAATAACATTCAACGCTACTCAATGTCTTCATAAAGACTGTTGTTACACCACCAATTATTAATAACTGGGCACCTAAAAAGAGTATCAATATTTGGTGTCTTATTTAAATTATAGACAAATAAATACAAACCTATTGATGCTGTACAATGATCATGTCTTGCAATCGACATTTTTGCTTCTTCTTTCCATACGCAAAGATGAGGATCCCAAATATCAATGCGATCTATGCTATCGGTACTATTTTTTGTAGTCGAAGCACCTCCAATTGCATAAAGACAATCGGAAACGACATAAAGTGTGGCGAAACATCTTGGTGAATTCAATGGTTTCATTTTTAACCATCTATAATTTAAATGAACTGATAAGATTATGGATCGCCAAGGAGGGTTGATATAACAAACTAGAAAATATAGAAATTACTATGATACGTGATCTAAATGGAAATAGAACTTACGAATTCTTTATTGGGTCGTAACATTCGACGTCCTTTGAGAATAGTTCTTTCTTCGATTTTGTCATGCCGCCAGCAACCCAGATAAAATCTCGATATTTTATACCAGCAGCACCCACCCTAGCTGTACACATAGGTTGTAT